AGGAATAACTCCCATTTAAAACAAAATTAAAAAGAAGGATTTTATTACAAAAACAAGAAGAAAGATTTTTAATTAAAACAGATATCCTTGGGAAATGCAAAAGTGTTTCGTTTTTTTTTCAATTTAAAGGAACAAAAGTATTTTTATATATACTGATTGATTTTTTTGGAACTTCTTTTGTACTTCTTCATAAATCTATTTACTTATTTTTTTAATTTGTTTTGATCATTTTATAAAAGATAAAAAAAATCGAAGATATTTCATTTTTCTAACCACCAGTAGTTTGGCATATTTTTTTTCCATTTAAGAGGAATCTCTTTTATCTATTTTTCTTCGTTTTTAGTTAGTTATTTATTTCATATTTCTAAAAAGTATCTAAGAATTAAAATATCACTTTCGATTAAATAATAGAATGGAGTACGAAATTGATGCTAGTAAAAGATTTTTTTCCTGTTATATTTATTTATTATAACCATTATGTTATTAAAATTGCTTATTACTTAAACACAAAGATACTTTTTTTTCAATTACTTTTTTTTTGTTCAACGAAGTTTAGTTTCTCGTCAGCTGTCTTCAATTTTATAATAACTCAAAAAAGTATTTTCATTTTGGCTCAAGGGGGCTATACCTTTTTCAAGAAGAAAATTGAACCCTGGTTGAAGTATTGGGAGAAATTTTTATGGAACTACTCCCCATTTAAGTTACATGGAGATGAAACCACGAAGATCTTCCACGGTTAGCCTGAAGCCAAGGGAACTCAATCCGGGATCCATCTAATACTGAGTACATTTTACGTCAGCACTTTGGTCGGTGGAGGCAGCGTGCGGAATTTTTATCGACCAGCAATCACGAGAATTCGAAACCATAAAACCTCATTGGTAGATGACCACTTTAACCCTATAGCTTGCGCTGCTCAAGAACTGCAGTTTGCCTTTACCGGACCTAAACTTAGATAAAAATAAATAAAAATTTAGACATTTGGTTTCAAAGAAATGGAACAGACCGGCTAGAAGAACAGTTTAACAAGATTATAATTATAACTAATACTGCTTGTAAATATATTTAAAGGGACTAATAAATTATTTTACTTAATTGATGCTGATATAAGAACCAAAAAGAGCGATGTAAATGATGAAATAAATACAGATAAAGATAAATGCTTAATAGAAAAAAATAAAAATGAATCATTACTATGTTTGCGTTGATATTGGTATTGAAAAAACGTTATAATAGTGCTTAAATAAAATAACTGAAGACCATCATTTAGGCATAACATTAATATTTTAAAGTTTAACTATTTTCTACATTTAAGATTTTTTAGCTAAAAGGAAATAAATGTATTGTAAAATTACAGTTTAAGTTTATTAGTTTGGAGCGAGTTGTGATTTCATTCTACCTATATGAATCTTCATCCGATGATGAATATTTTTGAGAAACATAATATGATAAAAAACATTTATGAAATCGATTGTACAAAAGATAACTCGGAATTGAGTAATAAATAGAATTGAATTTAAAATCGAATGACAACATGAAAGTTTTATCTCAATATTATGTTGTTTACACTATTCCAAAAAAAATTTTTTTTAAGATTTCCATTTAATATTTCAACTTATGTTTTTCGTTTGCCACTTAAATTTTTATAATCTATGATTTTGCTAATATGTCTAACTTTAAAAGGTTTTAGAAAATGGAGTTAAATGTAATAATACAATGCAGTAAATGTAAAACAACCGCTAAACCAAAACTGCTTTTCTATATTTAATATTAAAAAATCCTGCAAAATTAATTGCTTATTTTAAATTTATTGAACTTAATGAAATTTCCATTTACTTCTCTTATGAGTAATACAAAGGATTAAGATTTCTTGTTCATGCATTCACTAAGAAGGAACACAATTCTTGAACAGACAAAGCACATTAAATTTTATTCATATTAAAGAGCACATAAACGCTGCCTCTAGCTTCAATCAATACTCTTGATATGCAAATACATAGTTTTTCACACGTTGGGAGAATCGAAGAGATTTATTTTACTTAAGTTCGATTTAATCAGAGCATTTAATTAGAATAGGAATGTACAATTAATTTCACAAAATCTGCATTCGGCTAAACTATGCTAAGATAAAATGATATTAATCACTCTAGGTAAGTTGACCAAATAAATTCGAAAGAGAAACCTACCGCATCATTGGTAGCCACAGTTTAAATGATATTGCATGTATATTTAATTTCAAATTTTGTTAGATGAACTCTTAATTTATATTGTTACTTTTAACTTATAGTATGAGGCCAAACTCCGGAATATGCAAAACAGAGGCAAATAAAGGTTGAGTGTTAGTCGTCATGAAGGATTGGTATGGTCATTCTAGGTTACTTATCAATTCCATATTATTTTTAAAACGAATTCCACACTAACTTTTACTCATCTGTCTTCGCCTTAAAGTTTCCCATTACCACGACACTTATATAAGAGCTATATCAGTGGTATTAATACCATATTTTATTAAGTATCACTGACGACAATAATAATTTGACAATTCTTTACGGCCTTCGAAATAAGTATCCGTGTCAATTCGTCAAAAATGACTATAAAATATTAGTGTTGTTACTTTTAATTTCGAGAATTACAATCAATTATTTTTTTATGATTGAAAATTGACGTTAAAAATAAAATTGAAGTGTAATAAAAAGCTAAATTAGCGGGAAAATTTGCTTCTTCGTATATGAGAACCGTGAGGAAGTGCTATAATTTTTCTGACGCTGACAATCCTTAGTTAATTTTTATAATAGATATATATACTATATACATACTGAAATATTTTTTTCTTTCTAAAAGGCTTAAGTAATGGAAAACAAACTCTTATTTGGATAGGAGAAAAATAAAGTATTGCTATATTAATTACTCAAATCAATTACGGTAATAATTACTACTGATATTACGTTAATTGATGCTTTTAGTAGAATCTAGCATTTATACCAAGATATCTATTATACAGGCACTATGAAAATAGGTACTTACGGCTTATCAAAATGATTAGGTACCGGAAAAATTTTTTGATTATTTTTATTGTCTGGAACTTACCTCCAGAATTAGAATTAAGTCAAATGGTATAGATTATAATTAATCTGTATTTTAATGAGATGAACTTCTAGAATCATGTTTTGTTAAAACCATCCGGACGAGCATACAGAAATGAATAAAATAATTGTTACTTAATTAATTGTGTTGGTATGCTTCTATAGTTCTGTATTGTTGAGCAGAACCAATTTGTTGATTATTTACTATATTTCAATTCGTACAAAGAATAGGTTTTTAACTAGTATATAACATTTTTCACCGAATAATAAAATAGTAAACAATGCGTTAAATACATCAGAAATCTATTTTTTTTTATTTTTTTTTTACTTTCCTTCATAATATCGGAAAATCAAAATGAGTTAGGAGCAATCGCAGCTTGTTATAAGATTTTCCTCCAATTTAAAAATCGTATTCTTTTATTCCTAAAATGAAACAAGTTCTTATATGGAAGTCCATCAAAAAAAATTTTTTTGAGATAAAAATACAATTTTGAAATTCAATGCTTATTACTTTTCTCTTAGATAGAAAAATGCAATTTTTTTTTCTTTCTCTAAGATACAGGGAACTTTTTTTATATCGGCTGATATTTGTTTGGTATTGAAAACTAATGGCGTAACTTGATTTATGAATAATAATCAAATCAACCTTGCGTTTTTATCCTCAAATAAACCGGTTGATAACTGATTAAGGATTTAAGGATTAAATTATTTGTTTTTATATTTATCTTTTGCTAATAAAATATTTCGTTATTTTCATTTTACACTATATTTCAATTTTCATGTGAAATGCAAACTATTATCTCTAGAGATTTACACTAAGCAGTTAGTTATCGTCAACGAGTTTTCAAATCTGGACACAGCTCGAGATGCATGTTTGCGAAAATGAATACAGCTCAAATATCATGTTTTGAAAATAAATATAGCTCAAAATGCTTATTTCTGAAAGTGGACACAGCTCAGATTTGTTTAAGAAAATGAACTTAACTATTTAAGAAAATGGACATATCATTTGATTTCGTTTTACAAACTTCTTTTCTGCGCAGTATTTCTTTTAAAGTGTATTATTACTGAATGTTATTATAGTAAAATTAATGAATCGAATTAAATTTGGAATTATATAGTTTTCATCCTCATAAATCATGTGATATATTATTTAAACAAGACTTTTTTGAAAAGAATTTAAATCTCAACGGAAGTTTTCACTAGGTTGCCGCAGAAACTATAAATTTACCGCAGTGGTTGCAAATTAGTAGGAATTTAGATTTATAGTTTAGAGTTATAACTAAAAAGATGTCGCTTGAAAAAGACCATATGCGTTCTATCTAGCCAAACAGACCGCAAAGCCTGGGAACTAATTTAAAATCCAGAGGCCTTTAATGACTCCATCTCTTTTTTGGAGATTTTCCTCATGGCTTTTGTGGGTCTTATAATACAAACTTCTATTTCTGCTGAAATTTATGAACTGATCTAAAACATTTCCAGAATCAAGTTTGATTTTTTTTTTTAAAAAATATCAAACAGGGAAGTGGATCGTTAAAGACAGTTGGGTTAGAGAAATTGGGACTAGGCCGCTGAATGATTAGGCTAAGAAAAGTAAAAGTAAGATCGTAATTCTTCTTTTAATTGTTAAGTTTCGGTTAAAAACTTAAAAAGAGAATATTTTTTGCAACGTCATTTTACACAAACACGGATTTAAAGCTGCTTCCTGAATTAGGAATTCACTACAGATGTGCTAAACATATTTTTGTGATGGAATATATTTTGTTTATCAAACACTGTCATCAGAAACTAAGAAGAAAAATTCTAAACTATTGATGATGACAGAGATTTGAAGAAACCATATGCTGATTTGTAAACAAATCAATTTAGACATTGATTGACTTGTGCAGCTTGTTTAAGATATTGTTTACTGGCTTGGAGAAGCTTATCAGGTGCAATGAAAACATTTTTTCCTAATAAATGAGATATAAATAACGGATGATTCGATTCCATTTATTTATTCTCGTAATACATTCAATCAAGTGGTAAGTCTTACTTTAACCTTTTAGAATTAATGTCTATTAACACTTCCAGAATATTTTTAGTGTTTTTATAATTACTTGCATCGAACATATGAACTGATTCTGCATAGATTGGTAAGAGTAATTTAGAAAAATAATCTTGGTAATTTTATTGATATCATACCATACAATTACCAAAAATAATTTAATGATATTTGTTTCTGAAATTCAACCTTCTTTACAATGTAAAGCTATACTAAACTAAACTCAGAGGCGCGACAGCCCATTGAGGGACTAGGCCTACTGCGCGCATCTCAGTTTTCCTGACCTTGGGCGATGGGGTGCAGGAGCAGATGCTCCGGTTATGTGGACAGCCGAACGTGAAATCCCCAGTGTTTAGTTCCCAGACACGCTTGGTACTGATTTATCGACCCACTGAAGGGATGAAAGGCAGAGTCCACCTTGCCCAGCCAGAGGATCGAACCCAGGACCTGTGGCAAGGGAGCGCGAAGCGCTACTACTCAGCCACCGGGCTTCACAATGTAAAGCTACGTGTGGCTATTTTGCATCAGTACTACCAAACCTCCCAATTTCCAATTTTATCCTGTTTTTCACCAATTATAATTACATTTCATACTAAGATACTTAAGTTATTCATAGCTATTTTTTTTTTTTGGCAAACATATTTTTGTCCGTCGCAAAACGTCACATGCGAGAGAAAACCGCTGAATTTGCCAAAGATAATTTGATCAAACATTTTCAAAATTTGAACCACACAGTATTTTATTTTAAATCCGTTTAAGTGCATTTATGTCCCACTAAGACAACGAAATCATATCTAGAAGTAAAAAAGCATGCTTATTGCAGCCTTTTAATTACGAGCAACAAAATTTTTTAAGCTATCCGGTAATATGAAAAACTTTAAAGCGAGAGACACATTTTTTAGCTACATATTGTTTGATGAAAATAAGTTTAGTTAAATTTAGAATCCTGATTTTAAAATATGCTGTCAATGGCATTTTGTTCATACTTATTAATTAGGAAACATCAACCTTCATTCCCAATTTCTGAAACAAAATAATAATTTAGGTTCTTAATAATATTAGCAATTTTGCAATTGTTTAAAAATATTTAAATGTCAGAGAAGATAATTTATAGACATTGATATTTAGGAGAATATAATTTAAAAAAATCATAAATATTTAGAATAACTACATTAAAAATAAGTTACGAAATTAGGAGAATTTTAACTATTAATTATTTATGCATTTCATTTTAAGTTTTAATTTTCTTTGACTTTATTTATTTTTTGATTTTTTTGCTTGCCATTTTTGTGGAAGTAATAAGGCTGTTTCTATTTAGATGGCGAATTCTTATAAAGAAGTCTTAAACGACAGAATAAACGTATTGCTGTATTATATTAACTGGGTCATTTCGTTTGCAATGTTGAATCGATTATTTACATAGCTGTTCATTTACTTCAGGAAACGCGTGGGAAATTATATTTTTTCCTTTTGTGTTTCTATGAGAATTTTTACAAATTCCAATATAATTTTATTAACAATTTTAAATTTTTGTAATTCACTTCAAAAAACTGAAGAAAACAGTTATAGAAAAGAAGGAATGTTTCGGAATTTGTCACAAAGGAATACTCTAATATTAATTAGAGCTAGTTAGAGCGAAGGCTCCAATAATATTTAAAGTAAGTTAAATCGAACGCGCCGTTCTTGGAGCAAAAGTGCAAGCTTTACGCTGTTCTGACGTCACAGGGGGAAATCATAGCTTGGGCTTGACGAGAGTTTCTTCCAAGGAGTGAACCAGCCCTTCTATTCTCTCTTTAGCGCTGAGAGTGGCCCGTTTATTCCCAGCACCTACAGTACTTTTGAGAGTGTATTGAAATGGTTAGAGCTAAAATATACTTGAAATGAAAAAAGAAATTTTCTTAACAGATATATTTTAAAACAGCTATTTTGATGATTCTTTCTTAATACTTTTCAGAATTCCACAGCAATTGAGAAAATGAACTCCTTCTCAGTGATGATATTGATCATGTTTTTCCTTCAATGTTATGCCGAAAGAGAAAGTAAATATTTTTTTTTTCCTTAAATTATGGAGTAATAAGTTTAGAACCATTTAATTGCATTAAGAACTGAATAGGGTGGAATCTGCAATTTTATCGCAAAACATTCACCAATTATACACTGATACAGTTTTTTTGCGATCCGTTTTTTTTCTTTGTACAAACTCTTGATCACAAAAGCAAAATTGTAACTTACACTAGTTTTTATATAATTTATTTATATATTGTCTTTGTTTTTTTTTCAAATAAGCTGTTTTAAATACTTGTTCATTCATTATATTCCATTCTTCTTATATATATTTTTTTAAATACAAAAGGATGTAAGGATCTTACAAGGCATAAAAAATCCATGTTTTGAGTTTTTAATGCAACAATTACTTATTTTGAGTAATGGTTTTTCTTAGCATTGAAAAAAAGTCTCATTTGCAGCTCCATATTATTATTTGACAGTAATGAAACACTATTATTTTAAAATGAAATTTAATTGACGACAAAAATCTATTAATTGAATTTCCAATATAAGTGATTTAAACTCCCCCAGTTTTAACAAGCTCAGATTTATTGCTACTAATAACAAATACATTATAATAACAGTTTTATAAATAACCAAATTTGCCCTGTGACACTAGACGTTTGTCTTAAAGTATAGTAATAACTGATACTCCAGCGTAATTTTAATATCCAATTTAGCAATAAGTTTTGTATAGGCAGACCAGGTATTTATTAGTAATGTTATACTTAGATACTTAGATTCGCGTTAACAGTACCAAATATTTATTTGTAATAAGAAAATTTTTAATAAAAATATAAATTTGAAACAAAAATTACAATATCTTCATAATAAAAAATAAAATACATTTAAATCAATGATTTGGTTGCTTTATTTTGTATTTTTTTTAAAATACATAAATATATACATTAAATTACTTAAAAATACTCAGAAAAATATTTTTTCGTTTCCTTTAAATATTTCTGTTTGCACCCATGTCAAAAAATAATTGATCGGGATTTTAGATTTAATATGTTTCCAGGCTGTAAGTTTCAGTTTTAATTTTACAGAACGTTTTAAGTGTAGTATAGACGCTTATGCTTCTTTAACATAGGTACAATAGACTCATTCCTAAAATTTCTACATTAGTTAAAATTAATTTTCGGATTGATATTTAATATTTAGCTTTTTTATAACCAGCACTGGAAAGTCGACCCAATTTTTAATTCCAACCCCTGAGTCTTCGCGGCTCAATGTTTCAATTAGATCATCTGTCTAAAAAAATCCTGATTATTTTTTTTTTGATTTCGATTGCGTTAAATTTAATGAAGTCAGAGTCGGAGCCCGCTCTGTTACAGAAAACGTGAAATGTATTGCAAATTTTAAGTAAACAGACAAATGGTAAACTATATCTATTCCAAAAATATGGGCAAATATGAAAGGATAACTGAATTATGAATGGTTATTTAAATCAAATCTTTTACAAAGATAATAAAAATTTAAGACTTCTATTTTTAAGTTGATATGTTTTATTTGTTATATTTTTGACAGTAGCTTTTTCCATCGATTCTTGATTTATAATCACATAATTATGGCCCGCCTCATGATCCTTATTTCAGATAAGAAAATGGCCGTTCTAATCTTATTAATAATTAATTTATTGCTCTGTATAAAAATATATTGCATTTAAATAATATTTGAAGTAATTTGTAATTTTTGACTTTATAGTGATACCCCGAGATGATGAGGACTGCAGATCCGATGGTTGCCGGTTCAAATCCCCCGCAGCGTATGGATGTCTCTCTCTCTCTCTCTCTCTCTCTCTCTGTGTCCTATGTCCTTTCTTCTTTGTGATTGCGTGAATGTAACCCGCCCTATAAACGGCTTTGTGGTTGTTTGACGTGGGCGACGCTGCTCCACCGCCGTGTCTTTGCCATGGGTGCCCATTGGTTAACGATAAGAGAGTAGCAATTCTAGCATTTCTGAGGCCAAAGGGGAATAGACCCAAGTGCCCGCCATTAACTAAAAAAAAATAATAATAATAATAATCTTTCATCCTTTTTATTAGTGCCATTATTTCCTTGCATCAATGTAATCAACTAAGTACTTTTCGAAATAACTTCATCTTTTCCCATTGTAGTAAAACTTCTTATAACTTCTAAATAGCTTTCATAATATGAATAGAAATAACGAATTCTAAACAATTGTTTGAATTAATTTGTAAGAACACTTATACATTTTAAGTAATTTTTACCTAGTTTTTAATGCAAAAAGTGTTTGTATACAATCAAATCACTTATGAAATTTGTGAAGTAAATGATAAAAACCGAATAATATAAATGATATTGTAATTTTATTCTATACTAGTCGCCAAAGGCGGCCAGCTGTCAGCCTCGCTAAAGGTTTTCACAAATAAAGTTTTTTAAAACATAGCAGGAAATCTGAAGATTAGAGGACAATTAAAGTGTTCCTGTCCTGCAATTTTGTCTTCATATCAAGTTCTGCGGTAGATATGTTATAGCTCTTGAGGATGTTAGAAGATGTAACTTTTCTATGGTAACCTAAGGCCTATGGTGACCTAACCTATAATATAACTATCAGGTGGAGACTTGTTTTTTTATCTTTTTTTTAAAAAAGGCCTCAGAAATTGTAAAAGCATACAAAAGTTGCTTTCGAAATCATCATTGGACAATAACTGAAAACCTCTTCTAATCTTCTTTGACGTTTCTCTGATACTTCTTGGGCTCTAGAATTGCTTGTCGAAATTCCGTCATGTTCCATCCTTTTTTGACGTTCAACAGACGTTTCTTAGGCCCTTCTTCTTCTTTGAGAATCTCTTAATATCTTTTTCTTTGACAAAATACAAAGTATTTTGGAAGGTGGTTCTGCCATATCAGTAATCGGGTTTTTATGAAGTCAACGAATACTTTAGAACAACAATTACTATGAAAGCAAATCATGAAACTTCAATATTAAAATCTATGTGCTTACCTGCAAACTGAANTTTTGTTTTTTTTTTAAAATACATAAATATATACATTAAATTACTTAAAAATACTCAGAAAAATATTTTTTCGTTTCCTTTAAATATTTCTGTTTGCACCCATGTCAAAAAATAATTGATCGGGATTTTAGATTTAATATGTTTCCAGGCTGTAAGTTTCAGTTTTAATTTTACAGAACGTTTTAAGTGTAGTATAGACGCTTATGCTTCTTTAACATAGGTACAATAGACTCATTCCTAAAATTTCTACATTAGTTAAAATTAATTTTCGGATTGATATTTAATATTTAGCTTTTTTATAACCAGCACTGGAAAGTCGACCCAATTTTTAATTCCAACCCCTGAGTCTTCGCGGCTCAATGTTTCAATTAGATCATCTGTCTAAAAAAATCCTGATTATTTTTTTTTTGATTTCGATTGCGTTAAATATAATGAAGTCAGAGTCGGAGCCCGCTCTGTTACAGAAAACGTGAAATGTATTGCAAATTTTAAGTAAACAGACAAATGGTAAACTATATCTATTCCAAAAATATGGGCAAATATGAAAGGATAACTGAATTATGAATGGTTATTTAAATCAAATCTTTTACAAAGATAATAAAAATTTAAGACTTTTATTTTTAAGTTGATATGTTTTATTTGTTATATTTTTGACAGTAGCTTTTTCCATCGATTCTTGATTTATAATCACATAATTATGGCCCGCCTCATGATCCTTATTTCAGATAAGAAAATGGCCGTTCTAATCTTATTAATAATTAATTTATTGCTCTGTATAAAAATATATTGCATTTAAATAATATTTGAAGTAATTTGTAATTTTTGACTTTATAGTGATACCCCTAGATGATGAGGACTGCAGATCCGATGGTTGCCGGTTCAAATCCCCCGCAGCGTATGGATGTCTCTCTCTCTCTGTGTCCTATATCCTTTCTTCTTTGTGATTGCGTGAATGTAACCCGCCCTATAAACGGCTTTGTGGTTGTTTGACGTGGGCGACGCTGCTCCACCCCCGTGTCTTTGCCATGGGTGCCCATTGGTTAACGATAAGACAGTAGCAATTCTAGCATTTCTGAGGCCAAAGGGGAATAGACCCAAGTGCCCGCCATTAACTAAAAAAAAATAATAATAATAATAATCTTTCATCCTTTTTATTAGTGCCATTATTTCCTTGCATCAATGTAATCAACTAAGCACTTTTCGAAATAACTTCATCTTTTCCCATTGTAGTAGAACTTCTTATAACTTCTAAATAGCTTACTTAATATGAATAGAAATAACGAATTCTAAACAATTGTTTGAATTAATTTGTAAGAACACTTATACATTTTAGGTAATTTTTACCTAGTTTTTAATGCAAAAAATGTTTGTATACAATAAAATCACTTATGAGATTTGTGAAGTGAATGATAAAAAACGAAAAATATAAATGATTTTGTAATTTTAATATTTATTTGCTATATATTTAATAAATTATTCAATTATGTAAGAAAACAGATGCGAAAGGCTTTTACAATTATAAACATTAATTGCTTACATGCAGTTTATTAAAATAAAGTCGTTTAGTGAAGTTTTAGTTCTTTTAAATTTTTAGTTAATATAGTTGTAAAAATCCTCAAGTTTATAACTTTCTTCTCCGAGAACAATTTAGCATCAAAGAATTTAATTGAATGTACGGTTTAATGGCACAAGGTCCAAAAAATGACATGCTGTGCCAAGCAAATGATTTTTTCTAATGAAGTATCATAAATTTGAAATACTTATGTTTATGATAACCTGATATAAAAAGTATCAAAATACTGTCTGCATCTTATTTTCTTGTTTACTAAAGATATGTATTATAAGTGAGTTTATAAAAACATCAAAATTTAGTAGTTATATGAGCATTTATCAATTTTTTGTCTGAATTTAATTTTTTAGCTCTAAATTTAATTGATTGTTCAGATCAACTCATCTTCATCGATTGTCAAAACAATATTACTTTTCGTTTCAGTGACCAACAAGACGTGATTTTTCAACCACATAAAATTGTTACAAGAAGAACAAGGTGTAATTCCTCATGTGTTGGAATTCCAACGACTGATTATTGCAGAACCTGTTGGAAAGTTGGTTAATTCATGCTCATGCATCGGTGTTAATATGCAACAGCATATATCTAGTGGCAATGATGCTATTTATACACATGGATATTTATGAATATAATAAAAATGAATGTTAAATTAAATTTAGTATGTATTTTTTTTAATATTAATTTACTTTAAAAATTCATCTACGAGTGCTTTTATTCATAATTCTGAGGAGAAATAGTGTGCCCGGGCAATTAAGACCGCCTCGGGAATTTAAGATTGAGTCAAAGAACGTGAAGATCTGATCATTCGATCAAAGGTTATTCAATGTTTCCTATTTTGGTTCACTATACATGCGTATTCATGTACGTAAGTACATGTAATATTTCAATGTGTGTCTGTACAAGAAATATATGTATTTACAATGTATGTATGTCAAATTCTCTAGCTATCATGGGTATGTGTTTTCACCGAGAGAGATGCGAACCATCGTTTGCTAATTTTCATCTTATATATGGAATTTATTTATGAAACTAAGTTAAAAGTTATGTTTAAGGAAAGTTTATCACAATTAAAAAGAGTTTATAAAAGTTAAAGTTCATTTTAAAATTACCATCAATCAAAATTTTTATCTAAAATCTATGAAACTCAATGTAATATTGTTTCAAAAAGCAAACGATGATCTTGTTTTAAATTTCTAAATATAATCTTACATAAATAATTACATTTTTTATTACCAACTAAATTTTCAATAATCTATGCACTATATTATACATGAGAAAACTGAAGCATTTTATTTTAATACGTAAAAAATAGTTCTGATTTAAATATTATTAAAATGATAAAGAACAATTTAAACTAATATTTGGGTACTTGCAATTCAAGAGGATGTTTACTGATGCATGCAGACTGATGACAGTGTAAACGGAATTTTCCCCAGATCAATTTATGATACTAGAATTGCTTGTAGTATAAACAAGTTAATCACATTCGAAGCATTGCATCATCTCGAATTTTTGAATGCCTTTTTTAGTGACTAGAATGATATATATGAGGAGCTCAATTTGCAAACAGGGAATATTTTCATATTGGTACGTGTTCGTGTCAGCTATAATCGCGAAATGAAATTAATATATTTAAAAAAAAAATTGCAATTGCTTTCAAATCGACATAATAAAATGATTCATTTACTTAATGCCAGGTCTCTTAGCCCTGCGCAAGAATCATGGTTACATACATAGCCATTTTTAAATATACATAAATCACAATACTACAAGGTATGAAGAAAAAAAAAACATACATTTGATTTTTTTTCCCATCTTTCCTTCTTTATTTTGATCTTTTGTACACCTATTTTTTAATTAATTTTTTTATTATTCTTATTTCAAAAAAATAAAAATAATTCTATGGAATATGTTATGATAGACACAGAAACGATAATATCGAAATGTTATCATAAATACGTAAATTTGTAAACTGTCACCTACCATCTTGGGGTATCCCAGTTACTGTTCAACATTCGCCTCAGGACAATCTTAGAATTTCACGTGTTCTACTCTAGAGAAATATTTCCAGGGTTGAGTAGGACACATTACTGACAGAAAAGCAAACAAGTCTCACGAATCGCATGTTAAAAACTTCTATTTAACTTCCCCTGCAAGTAAATAATTGAGAACATTTCAATGTCACAGTTAGAAATATAATTTTTCAGTGACACACTCACTTTTGACATAAAGTCTATTTTGTCTTCATCTCAAAGCCTTAAATATTTTTTTTTGTAAAATATCGAAATTTTAAGAATAATAAACTGATTTGGATGTGGTACGTATTTAAAGAACATGTAGGATACACTGTTTGTTAGTCAGAAAGAAAAAAAAGTTATAACAAGTAATTTGTTTTGAAGTAATTTATACAATATTGAAAATATTGTCACTTAAATGTGAAAAATTATACAGTCTTATAAGCTTTCATAGATGTACGTTGAACTTCGAGTATAACTGTAATTACACAGAAATATGCAATATAGTGTTGAGTTAGGCAAAAAAAAAATTATAAATATTGAATATCTGTCATAGTTAATGGATTCGTAAAGTTTAAACTTAATGGTAATTTAATGCAGGAAGAAAAAACAGGTGGTAAGAAACTATTTTCCTACATTCAAATGTATAATTCAATTTCGAATGGGTGTTTTATCACTATATATGTATCAAATTAAAGGAATAGCTTAAAAATATTCCTTAAGTATAAAGTAATTTCGTAACAGTCTGACGTGAGCCAGAGGGTCACGAAGGTTAAGACTCTACAATGTTGAGACCAACAGCATGGTTATGGTCATCATTGCGCACAAGTCGCTTTTATTTCCCACAGAAACTGGTATCCATTAATATAAAGATAAATACATTTGCTTTATGTCACTTTAAGTCACCACTGAAGATCCAATTGCAGTTTATAGCCATTTCAGGTTTTCACTTTTAACTACACCGCCATCCAAGCTCATAATATAATTAGCATTTTTTTAAAGGAAATGTGCGAAACATTTAAAGATTACTTTAAGTTTTAAATTAGGGACAGCTCGTGAGTTCAATTTTACTGAGTTACAAAATTCCATCAGTTGATGTTATTCTAAATGTATAGTATTGTAATGCAAAGGTTAATAGTTCTCTCTATTAAAGAATGTTAATGATTATACTAACAGAAAATCATTATTAAATTATATTTTTAATTGTCAAAGATGAACAATAATATTGTGTAATTTTTACTCGCATTTTTAATTATTGCATAGTTTTTCAGCCCCTTAAATAGATTTCGGCTAATTTTCCGTAATCTATCTAATTTTAGTTATTTAGGCTTATTTACTTATTTTATTTATTTAGTCTTACTTATTTAGTTTTACTTATTTAGTTTCATTCTAATTTTTTCGTACCAGTTATTATTTTATTTATATGCTCATATTTTTTATCGAATATTATATATTTTAACTACTTTTAATGAATTTCTCCCAAGAAAAAAGGTATCATCGATCTTGTGAGTTTAATGCTAGTTCAATTAATGTTCAAAGTTATATTCTAATCATGTTCAAAAACTATTTTTAAAATATATATATATATATTTTCAATTGGCAAATGTTGCACATAACGTAGAATTTATTGACTTAACAGTCGGGTTAACAGTTCTGCTAAATGTAAACAACATGAACAACATAGGTTAGATTTTTGATCATTGAGTTACCTTGTAATTTTATTGTTTTTTGGTGAATTTTTTAAGGGTAATTGCCTTCAGACATAAAAAAAAAACAATAAGTTGCATGTAGTTAAAAATGCACTCGGTGTAACAAAGTTAACCAGTTCTGTAAACAAAAGAGGGAAACATTACTAGGGAGCTTTGATCAAATCCACATAAACTGAAATCAGTTTTGTAGCTTCAATTTAAAATTATATGTTCTTAATGTAACTTTAAAAAAAGGATTATCACGAACATGCATGAGGAATGCGTAACTTGAATTTACCAGTAAAATTTGAATGTAAAGCTTATTAATTCACATGAATCTTAAATGTGTATAAACCACATTATATAAACAATGAACCAAGTCCTGAAACGTCACACAACTAACATATTCTCAGTATTTCTAGTAAAGACGGAAAAAAGTCAAATCCCGTAACCGTGGTAATCTAGATTCGTGTATGTCCGAAGTTTAAGGCACATCCGCCCAAATCATCCATCATTTTATTTCTTGGATGACTCTCTAAACATCTAAAGAATGGTCTAATTAATTTCCGTTGTTCGCAGATGACTTGGGAAGACACTCGATGGTTTAATTTATGACCCACCATGTCCGTTGAAGCATTAGAGTCCTCCTTCCATAAGCCACACAGAAAACATCATTCAACATTAGATATAGAATCATCGATTTACCTAAACTATTTTTAGATTATATCTTCCTTGTAATTCGATGGCTCATTTTTAAACAACCTTAGATTGAATTCGATTATTTTATTAATCCAGTCACACGTATCGTTTGATCACAAACAGTTATAACATGCTAATAATCCTTTTACTAAATTTTACTTTTACAATTGAGTATTTTCGGACGTATTTTCTGTGAAAATGACACATAGACTAGCAGGTATAAAATGTCTTTCGAGGCGAGTTCATTAAATAAATTATTTTCAGTATAATGAATCTGACTTTAGTTTGAAAAGTTTTAATTCCCTACCCCTTGGATTCGACAGAAATATTCATTAAACACAAATAGTGCTCATTATTTGAAAAATAGAATGATTCCTTTTAAAAGAATAATGGAATATAAGTAGTTTATGAAATTAAACAGAGCGGTTAAACTAACGGCTATATAACGGTAATTACGAAATTCGTCTAGTAATGAAGAGTATAATATTTTCGAATAATAAATTTTTTAGGCATCATTTTCGACGTTATTCCATTAGTAGTAGACGGCGAGATATAAGGGACGGAAGTGAGCTTATTTCTGCCCGCCTACAAACCGGAAGTGACGTCATAGTCAACCGGTGCTTATTTCTGCTCCAATCGGAAGTGTATTATTTCTGCCCACCCATAAACCGGAAGTTGCTTATTTCTGCCCGCCTGAAAATCGAAACTTCGTCTGCAACGTCATGGGGAGCTTATTTCTTTTTTTTTAAGCCTAATATAATTTTTGTTTCGGTTTCTGTTTTTAATTTAGTTTCGTTTTTTTAAATATTATTTAATTTATTAGTTTTTTGAGGGTGGCAACACTTATTATTTTTAATATTAGTTTGTATATTATGAAGTTTTGACGTCATCTCTTATTACGTAACACATAAATGATATCTAGTGGCGCCATCTATGTGAGAATTTTAGAAATAAAATAACTTTAAATCTATTTTAGTATTTAAATCTGTTTTAATATTATTTATTAAATATAATTAAGGCTGAGGATCGAACTCACGCCGTCAAAAAGCCTTCGTGGGTCAGTAGTTGGATATCATAACCACTGATCCACGAATGCTTGGTTAGATATGTGTTAATAAATTAAACTTTTGTATTTTATTATTATTTCTGCCCCACTTAATGTTATTATAACTTTCTCTGGGTGGCAACGGTACAGACCATACACGTGTTAATTATTACATAATAAATAAATGATATCATGCATATGCTTTTT